GGAAGGAAGGAAGGAAGGAAGGAAGGAAGGAAGGAAGGAAGGAAGGAAGGAAGGAAGGAAGGAAGGACCCCTTTGTGCCAAACTTATCCCAGACTTAGTGAGACCAGCAGGACCAGGCTGGGTTGAAAAAGACACACAAGTTTAAAGAAGGATACAGTAGGTCTCACAGGCTCCTACCAACTTATAAGGGAAAAGACCAGATACTTAAGCTTAGCTTAGGGCTTAAATCTCACAAGATTCAACAACCTAGGGCAAGAAAATTCTAAGTGTTCCCACTTTTGTCAAGGGATGCAGAAAGAGTTGCCTGAATTTGCACCCTGTCCTTATTTACTGTGTTCACAACCAAGAAAAGCAGATGCATTAGTTGATGGTGACATCCCCAGGCCTTTGATCTTTGTTGTATTTTATAATAGCATAAAAACTGCTGTTATCTGCTAAGTCCAGTCCCTAGGAACCATCCCCAACAGCCCCTCTGCCATCATCTAGAGAGCTGAAATCACAGCACAGGGTCAGAAAAGGAGCCTGGTCCAGCTTGAGCACTGCAAACACAGAAACCTTCTGTGCTCATTCCCAGGGTGCAGGATCATGGATAACTAACGCTGAAAGGGACTCAGGGAGGTCTCCAGTCCAACCTCCTGCTGCCAGCTGGAACTCAGATAACCCCACTCCTTTATCCAGCTCAAGTTCTATGTCTATACAAGACATTTTACAGGATTTTTTCAGAAGGGAACGAGCTCACAGGAGGTTTTTCAAGATCTCTGCTGCCAATTCCACCACAGATCTCCCCAAACCCGTAGCTCCATGTCGCAGACAACTTTTATGAAAAATCCTTTCCTTAGGATTTTTTCTCCTGAGAAGCTGAGAGGCTTCAGGAACAAAATGTAAACAATAATTATCTGCTGCTGTGGAATGCAACAGGTGCATCTGGTATTGGTCTCATGTGGTTGTTTCTAATTAATGGCCAATCACAGTCAGCTGGCTCGGACTCTCTGTCTGAGACAGAAGCTTTTATTATCATTCCATTCTATTCTATTCTTAGCTAACCTACTGATGAAACCTTTTCTTCTATTCTTTTAGTATAGTTTTAACATAATATATATCATAAAATAATAAATCAAACCTTCTGAAATATGGAGTCAACATTCCCATCTCTTCCCTCATCCAAGAACCCCTGTGAACATGGCCACAGCTCCTCACTCACCTTTATCCAGCACGGGCCCAAAGATGGCCAAGCTGTCGTTGACAGTGGTGCAGTTCCACCTCCTCCCTCGGAACTGGTGCTGGCACTCCTGGATGCCAATCTTCACCCCCTCTGCCACGCTGGGCATGATCTCCACGTAGTTCCTGCAGAAGCGCAGCTGCTTGGGCACCAGCCCCGGGATGCTCCCACACAGGATGGGCTGGGTCCCCAGGGACGAGTACTGGTGACCAATGGCCAGGGACCTGGGCAACAGAAATGGGAAAAGAGATCTGTCAGGCTGGGTTTCATCTTTGTGCTTGGTGCAGAAGAACGGGGAGAGAAAATCAACATCTTTGATTCCTTGGCACTCCTCCTCACCAGAAAACACCATTTTCATTGTTATCTGTCCCCAAAACAACTCCTGAATTTTCCTACAAGCCAGCAAGGCAAAAAAACTCTACTTTAAAATATCTTCCTTTCCTTTTATTTATCCTCCCAAAGCCTTAATTCATCATTGTGCTGTGAAATATTTCCTTCCTCCTTTCCTTTCCTTTCCTTTCCTTTCCTTTCCTTTCCTTTCCTTTCCTTTCCTTTCCTTTCCTTTCCTTTCCTTTCCTTTCCTTT